AAATGTCTCTCTACTCCTCAAGGCTCAATCTGTGAACCTGTGAACACATACACTGTACCACAAGTATGTGGATAATATTTCTGGATTATAATAAGTAAAAATACACATCTATATAATACTTGCAGGTATGCAAATGAATACATATTTATTACAAAGTTTCAAGCAATAAAACCCAATATCAGCAGCGGTGGTTGGATTTTCTGTAAAAGCTTCCTGATTTAGTGAAAACAGCTTTGGGAAGTGTGGGTTTGATAATCTTTAATAGCTTCACACCAATACTTGTTCAACAGGGTGGCTTTCTCCCACCTTACCGAAGTCCAGGATCTTTCTAGCGTGAAGGAAATCCAGATATCAGAACAAGTCTAAACATGCCACTCAGCAGCAGATCAGCTGACACAACCCTCCTTCTAATGAAAACATCTAGTTCTACAGAATTCACATTGCTCCAATGGATGTCCTCACCTCCAATTAAAAACAAGAGATGCTACATTTAAAAGATAATATTTAGAGAATCCCTCACAAAGGTTCAAGTGCTTGCTCCAAAATGTTAAAAGTAATGATTTTTAAAAGCCAGATAGTTTATATGGCATTATACCACTGAGCAATCAAATTTTAGCACTTTCACCTTGCTAATCACAAGGTTCCTCCTATCTAGTGAGCAGTGTACTCATTGAAGAGACATACCAAAGCCTGCAGAGAATAAGGGGATTCAGCAACTTAAATCTAACAAAGAGGGTTTCCCAAGTATCTGCCACAACCTCACCTCCTCTTTACCATCACAGCCACTACTACCCTAACTCAACCTTCACCTCCTCTTTCTGGACCATTGCCAGCTACCTTACCTGCTCCTTCCAAAACATCATCTACTCAAATCCCCTACTCCCAGGGATTTCCAATTCTAACATACCCTTTCTTACCCCCAGTGGTGCTAGGGACTAAACCTGGGGTCTCAGGCATGCTAGGCAAGTCCTCCACCTCTGAACTACATCCCCAACCCTTTTATTAATTGTCATCATTATCATCATCTTGAGAGAGGTGCTCCCTAAATTCCCATGCTGGCCTTAAACTTGAAATCCTCCTGCCTCACCCTCCTGAGGAGCTGGGATTACAGACTGCTCCACTGCCACTGGGTCTGGCTCAAAAACAATGAAACCTTTCAGTAGCTCCTCGGTGTTTAAAGAATGATGTCCTCCTCAACTCCAGCACAAATAATGCCTTCTTGAGACTACCCCTACTCCCTAAACCTCCTGCCATTCCCAAAGGTAACTCAGCCCTTCTCAGGCACACCCTCCCCTCCCTGCCTTTCTTAACTGAGGAGTACAGCATTAGCACAGTGGCTGGAGGACGAGGCTCTCACAGTTAGCTCCCCTTACCACCAAGGTCTCTGGGTTGAGAGTACCCTACTGCTCAACCTCCAAGGTCTACCAGTACCTTTCCTCCAAGGACAGATAGGGTCAGACATGTTCCATCTTACATACATAAAATCTATCATCCCTTCCTTGAACAAGCCCTGATTTCAGACACTTCACCTGCTGAATTCTAAACTCTGTAACAACTACTATTAATGGATTTCCCCCTTGACCCCTCACTGCAGTCCTTTCAAGATTCAGAATTTTCCTTCCAAGTCTGGCCATATGCCCACAAAACACAAAATAGCAGTAATTACTAAGAAAACCAAAAAATGGTGAAACAAATACTTAAACAATAAAATCCAAACAACATGAAAACAAATTTGATTTATTTCTGGCTTTAATTTGTCATGTTATCACTCATAAAAAAAATGAAATTCTATTTATTCAACCTGGGGAATCAGTAAACAGACATACAGACCACTGTGCCACAGACACTTCTTTTATATGATACTCTGAATGTAATATTCTGACATAAATTCACAAAAAAAATTGGGGGATATTTGTACTGGGGATCAACCCAGGACCTAGGAAGTGCTAGGCAAGTTGTCTACCACTGAGCTATACTCTCAAACCCATAAATTTTTTTTAATTTTTGAGTATCCTTTCCTATGAGCCCTTAAAAACATAAAGCTAGAAATAAACCTCTCTGAACAGAATATAATGCTTTTCGACTATTTTTTAAGATAAAAGTTTTATGCCATTAAATACACCCAACCATTTACCATTTTTTCAGAGGTAATTTAAAAACTAGACACTATCCCCCCAAAATGTACTTTTCATAGAACATATCAAAACTCAGAAACTCTCGACTCATTTACTCCATATAAATTACAAAATAAGCAACCCGTCACTGAAAAAACAAAAATGTAGAAACTTTAACACTGAAATATATCAGTACTACAGGTTGTTCAGCTTACAGGTGTTTTACCTGACAATGTTTTTCTGAAAAAAAATTTAGTAATAAATTAAATGCTATAAGTTAACTCAAGTGTTAAAAATCTAATTCCCAAACCAATCAGCCAACAAAAATCCTAAATAAACCCCTATGCATAATGGTAAATGACTCTAGAAATTATACATTTAAAAAGAAATCAGAGATGTTTGTCTCTACTGAAGACAGTAGATTAAAGTTCCACGTACCAGTTCATAATCATCGAAGAACTTCTTGTGATATTAACAAGTACCAGGACATGTTTAAGACAATTAGGAAAACATTAATGCTGGATATTTGATATTTTCTAAATGTGATAATGACATTGTGGTTATGTTAAAAGAAAAAAATAAATGAACTGAAGTATTTAAGGGTAAAATAGTACCTGCGGTTGACCTTAAAATAAAGGAGGGGAGGAGGGCTGGGGATATAGATCAGTTGGTAAAGTGCTTGCCTTTCATGCACAGGCCCTGGGTTCAATCCCCAGCACCACAAAAATAAACAAATGAATAAAGGAGGGGAGGAAGATACAGATGAAACAGGTCAGTCATGGATTGATAACCGTTAAACTGAACTGTAATTCTCTTTGTGTATATCTGAAAATTTCCAAAATGGTAAAATTAACCAGCAAAATCTCAAGTACTACTTTATTCTGGATTATATGCAACTGCACAGATTTTTATAACTCCTTGGAGGTTTGCATAATTAAAGAATTTCTACTCAAATGTGCAGACTTTGTAGTCAGAGCACTATTGTCATTGTCACTATCCCAAATACTTCCCAAATGTAGTCTCAGTAAATCTCTTTCAATAGCCTGAGCAGTAAAGGACAAGGAAGGAAAGAGGAAATGAGAAGGGGAAACAACAATGAACCTGCCCAAGCTGTTACCATAAAGAGCACCCATCTCTTAAAACCAATTAATCCACACTGGGGTTTTATTCTTTCCTTTTTCTTATGGTTTCAAAAAGGGCTCCAGCCTTCTAACTTACTTCACTGCCCTTAACACATATGCTGACCGAGGAATATACAAACAATCCAACTACTGTGTAACCAGGTCAAAAACAAGCTTTGGCTAACTCACTTGGAAGAGTATACTCACCACTTAGATTTGGCCAGAAAAACTGGGTTAGGGAAGAAAAAAAAAAAAAACCGCCTGGTGGTTAGGCAAACATTGGGGCTGGGGAAAATGTCTTTAAGCCAGTTACCAGTCACTCAGTGAGTTGCAACACAATCTTTTCCAAAATTTTCCAAAGCCTTCCAAATTCTGTTGAGCCCAGCAGGAAGAGCTAACAGGGCTTCTTTTCAAATTCAAAAATCTGGCCCCAGCCCCAACAGTTAACCAACAAAACACATGCTAATTCACTTGAGATCACCTAAGAATACGGACTCAAGTTCAGACCACAGGCCAGTCAGTAGTTGCCCAGACCAGGGGAAGTTGGGGCTGGGGCGAAATGTTCAAGTGATAGATAAGGCCTATTCATAAAGCAGAAAGGAGACAATAAGATCCACACTTCACTTGGCCTAAGACAAAGTATACAGTAAGCCCTCCAACTCCCCCCCCCCTTTTGAATGAGACAATGACAATTCTTCAATGAACCACAAAGCCCTGCTTCATAAGATAATTTTTCTCAAGCCCAACCTTGTACCCACTCTTAACAGCTAGAAAACTCCCCCAGTGCAGATAACTTTCAGAAAACGTTTAGCAATAAGAAAACAAACCGAGACAGAGAGAATTTAACATTGTTTTGAATTTTCAAGGCCTGTGCCTGCCTCACCTACAGCTCTTTCATAATCTGCACTGGATAAAAATGAACAACACACTGTTAGTCACATCAGGTGTCAGCTACTCAGTGCAGACTCACAGTGTCCAGATTCTAGTTTCATGGGGGGGGGGGGGTGATAAAATATAAATACAAAGAATGTATGTAAAGAAAGAGAAAGACCTGGGGTGGGTGTGAAACCAGGGCATCCTCTCTCCTCCCCGCTCTCCCTCATCTCTGTTTCAATTACACAGCTGTCAAACAGGTTATTCCTGGAATTCATACTTTATAATCCCCACACTGTAATTCTTCCTGCTCCTGTTGCCCAAACATACACTCCTCCCTGCTTCCCCAAAATATGTTTCCATCAGTAGAAGGTAAGATAGCCAAAGTTTTTATGAAGTAGTCCCAGGTAACACCAAACTCCCCACCTTGAGCACTTGGCAAGCACTCAAAACGAAGAAACACGACAATTTTCTTGACAATTTTCAAGAAAGCCAAGACAGTGGTTTAGGATAATCATAGACAAGGCCTGCCTATCCTGAATTTTAATTGACACACAACTCAGGAAGTCAGATTTGGAGCAAAAGAAAAAAAAAAAAAATCAGGTTGTCTTGGGGGTGGGGGGGGATCCTTTTCCATTTTGCTGAATTAAACTGCATGCCTAACTGTGTAGCTTATTTCCTTATCTCAAAGCCAGGAAATGAGGTCTTTTAAGGCCAGTGTGAATACAAACTCGATGTTTAAAAAGCAAGGGGATGCCAGGCGAAACCCCTTTCCCAACTTCAGCCAAGCGGCGTGGCCTCCAGTCAGCAGCGGATTTCTCACCCTCTCCCTCGTCCCCCAACAAGAAGTTTCTACATGCCACGGGAAACAAAGAAGGCGCCCCACACCGACCTTATAGACTTGTCCATAGGTGCCATTTCCAACCACTTCCACCAGCTCAAAAATCCCAGCAGGGTCCTGGAGAGAAAGGAGGGGAGAGGATAGCATTTATAAGAGACCCAAAATGAATCAATAGACGGGGCAATTGGAGAGAAAGGGCGGTGACAAAAGAGGTGGGCTTCGCCCCACTCGGCCCCCGTGCGCGGGGGCGGCGGCCGTGCCGAGGGTCGCGCCCGGGTCCCCGCACTCGCCGAACGGCAGACAAAGGGCCGCCGCGCCCGCGGCTCTGCCCACGGCGCCGCCCGAGCGCCCGGCCAGCCAGGGCGCGGTCCCGCTGCCCGCTGCCCGCTGCCCGCGCGGGCCCACTCACCCGCAGGGAGGAGAGGTCGATGTCCACCAGACTTTTTGCAGGGGAGTCGTTCGCCATTTTTCCTGTTGGCTACCCCCAAAACAAATGCTAACGATAAATCTCTCTGTGGCCCTGCGGAGTCGGCCGGGGCCAGGCCGCCGACGGCGCTGCTCGCGCGCAGCCGGGCCGGCCGGGACTCTCCTCGCGGGGCCGGGGGCGGCGGCGGCGGCGGCGGGACGGCCGCGCTCTCGGCCGCTCGCGGCTCTCGGCGGCCGGGCCGCGCGGAGGGCGGGCGGAGCGTGCGCGGCGACGGCGCTCACACCATGGCGCGGGCCGGTAGGCCCCCCGGGCGTCGCCCGCCGCCTCAGGCCCCGGCGCCCGCGCCCCGCGCGCCTCGAGGACGGGCCCGGAGCGAGGGGCCGCGGCGCCGCCGAGAGTTGAGCGAGTGAGCGCGAGGCAGCGAGACAAAGATAACCCGGGAGGCGGAGGCGGAGGCGGGCGGGGAGGCGGGGAGGGAGGGGGCGGCGGCGGCGCGGGAGGAGGAGAAACGGGACACCAAAAATATATTCTGAGGAGAGAGAAAACAGCTCCCCCTTTCCTTCTCCGGCAGGAAAAACGGGCGGAAACGCACTCACGCCCCGAAGCCCCGGCGGGGAGGCGCGGGGCGAGGCGCCCGCGCGGCGTGAATATTCATCAGGGGTGGGGCCCGAACAATGGCCGGGCGGCGGGCAGCGGCGGGGACTCGACGCCCGGCGCCCGGGGTGGGGCCTCGGCGCCCGGCCCGCTCCGCGCTCCCGAGACGCCGGGCCCGGGGTACGGCGGGCGGGATTTCCCCCAGGGAGGTGCCCGGGCTGAGGAAACGCCCATGCTCGCACTAACAATGAATGCGAGAACGTTGAGCGGGACCCCAAAGCTGGAGGCAACAGCCCCTGGGGTCCCCCCCCCCGCCGGGAGGGGTGTGTCGCGCCCTGCCCGGCCGCGGAGGGGGCGAGGGGTGCTCCCTCCCTCCCTCCTCACACCACCTCTCCCCATCCCCCACCACCTCCAGGCGGAGTGCCCTGAAGACCCCCGTTTCCGGTTTCCCTACACCGTTTTCTCTTCCTTTCTCTTTTCCAGGCTACGTTTGTGACAGGGTTGTAGTTACCCGGGCTTCGCTGAGTGTCGCTTGGCTGCCCGGCCGTTTCTGACAGCGTTCAGAGCGTGAGCACTGTGTTTGGGGTCGCAAGCACTAACCCGTGTTTTGTACCTGGAGGTCACTAAGGGTCAACAAACAGGCTTCTTCCGGCAACCTGGGAAGCTAGTCAGTACCTGGGCAATCTGTTTAATCAGAGTCTTCTCTATCACATTCCTGCATCAGCCAAAAATTTCCATTGGCTGCCTATTACTTGACAGCAGGTGTTAAAGAAGAATCACCAGGAGGTTTTGTAAAAGCAGTCCCACCCCCAGGCTCAGATTCTGGAGGTCTTGAATGGGCCTGAGAACGTGCATTTCTGACAAGTTCGCGAAGGAAACTAACCTTGCTGTTACAGGAACATAGGCTGAGTACGGGGTCCCACCGGGATGAAAAGCCAAGGCCTTTCATAACTGGGTTTCACAAAGATCACACTTTCATTGTCGTCATTAGCTGCCAATTCTTGAGGGTTTTATGTACATCATCCAATTTACTGCACTGGGATAAGGAAACTAAAGTACTACTGGAAGATAAAAGAATGAACCCAAACCCTTAAAAGCATAACCTGGAAGGGGAGCAGGCATTGCGTCTTGGCCATCTGTTTCCAAAATCTAAGTCTGATTTAGCCATGTTAATCTGCTCTACCCAAAATATGTGTTGCACTCTCCTTCTTCCTGACAGTTTAGTTTCTAGGATTTTTGACATGAGACTCTCTTGTAAGACTCCTACTAGTCACAGATTAGGAAAATCGCTGTAACCAGAATGTTTCTATATATTTATTAATGCTTCCAAGTAATTTTTATTTTTATCCATCAACAGCAATGAAATTGACTATGAATACAGGTTAAATAATTAGAGAACTAGACTGGTGCACTTATGAACTTTCAGACCATATTATTAATATTTTAATAGTGTTTACTGTTAATACTAGGTACACATATTACCTCATTATTTTTCACATTAATCTACTGGTACTCTTATCTTTCTCACTTTACACATTAGAAAACCAATATCTAAAAAAATTAAGTAACTTGCTCATTGTGCACAGTGGGTCCCCATACAGAAGTGCCAGCCCCACGCCCCCCCCCCCCAGGGAGCTCCTTCTACTGGTTCAACACTAAACCCATGGCATGACCCACCTCAGACCACCCCTCTTTCTCTCAAGTTCTGTCACCTCAAGCCCAGCTCAGAACTATCTCTTCTATAGAGTTTCTCTAAATCACCCTGCCCTCAAGTATCTTTTTCCCATATAATCATTGGAACACTTATTTCTCACTTTTGAGTCAGAAACTGGTCTCAAAGAACAGTACAAGCCTTTGGCTTAGCCATTGCCCAGGATATTAGGAAGAACAACACAAGTCTGTCTTCAGAGAGCTTGCACTCTGATAATGAGCATACAGCAGTTTCATAAATAGCCAGACAACAAGGCCAAACACTGTAAATCTGAGCAAGATGGAAAGAGCACTAAACAGGTCTGATGTTAAGTATGCTGGATGTGGGGCAAAACTGAACTGGATTTGAATGCTCATTCTATTATTTGTCAGTTGTGCAACCTTGCTCATGTTGCTTAATTTCTGAGCATCTATTTCCTCTTCTGTGTACTAGATGAAAACTAGAGATAAGAACAAGTAAGAAATAAGAACTTAGGCCAAGGTAATAAGACCTGGTGACAGGGAATGCAAGAGGTCTGGGGATGGTGGATTCTCTAAGACTTGATCTCTGATGGTGTGCCAGAAGGTGGCACAGACAAGGAGGTGAAAGACTTGTTCACAATTGCAAGATGTTGTTCTGAGCAGGGGTAAAGATGGGGATTGCTGAGAAGTAGTGAAGAAGGAAGGTTTGAACAGCAAACTAAAGTTAGTACACTTTTCACAGTAGAATAGTAGATACCTGCCCACCTTGAAAGTCCACTCCAGCTCCAAGGGTAGGGGCTGTGTTTTCAGTGAACAGCCATGTATTAGATCAGGCTGCCATAGCAAAATACCATATTCTGGGTGGCTTAAATATAGTACCCCCTCCACCTTATTCATGATTTCACTTTCTGAGGTTCAGTTATCTGAGCTCAACTGTGGTCTGAATATATTAAATGGAAAACTCCAGAAATAAATTTTATAAATCTTACTTGTTATAATATATTGTTATAATTGTTCTGCTTTATTGTTGTTATTGATTTTTTATTGTGCTTAACTTATAAATTAAACTTTATCATAAGTATGTGTGTTTAGGGTAAGAACATAGTATATGTAGGGTTAGTACATATGTACATAGTACACAGTACTATGGTTTCAGGAGTTCACCGGGAATCTTAGAAAGTATCCCAGATACAGATAAGGGGGGCTGCTGTAACAGATGTTTATTTTCTTGCAGTTCTGGAGTTTAAAAGTTCAAGATCAAAGCTATGTACCATTCCGTTTTGGGTTTTTTTTTTTTTTTTTTTTTTTTAATTTTATGTGGTGCTGAGGATCGAACCCAGGGCCTTGCCCTTGGTGGGTAAGTGCTCTACTGCTGAGCCACAACCCCAGCCCTATATCATTCCGTTTTGGATGAAAGTTCTCTTCCTGGCTTGCACACAGCCACCTGCTCCCTACATACATATATGACTTTTCCTTGGTGCATACTCAAGGAGACAGGGATGCACTTGCTGGTATCTCTTCCTGTAAGGGTACCAATGCTATCCGTAGTGGCTTTATCCTTATGACCTAGTCCAGCCTTTATTACTTCCTTAAAGGCCCTGTCTCCAGATAATCACATGAGAGGTTAGAGCTTCAACACATGCACAGTGGGGTTGCAGGGACAAACTCAGTGTGTAACAAGCCTGTGGTACACAATGCCAGAAAGGACCTTGTCCTTAAGAATCTATTTGAGGACACAAAGCCATCCAAAAAGATAATCAAGGTAGTTGATATATTGGAAAATAAATACTAATTTGGCATTTTAGACCAGGGGAGAGGAGTGGGGAATAGCTTGCTTGGGCAAAGAATGAAAAAATAGAAAAGGAATGAAAAGACTGCCCACCCTGGGCAGAGGACTCAGTTCAGAGAACCCTGAAAGACAGTGTGTGTTACTCAACTTTCTTTCACTGTAACAAGTCCCTGAAATACTTGGCTTTTAAAACGAAAAGGCTTATTTCTGGCTCAGAGATGTGGAGGTTTGAGTACATGATTGTTTGGTCCTGTTTCTTTTGGGCCTGTGGCAAGCAAACACATGATTGGAGCAAAATCATTCATCTCATGGCAGCTGGAAGCTGAGGAGTAGGATTCCACTATCCCCTTCAAGGGCTGGTACATATGTTTAGATACAAGGTATTCCCCAAAAGTTAATGTGTGAAACAATTAAGAATTTTCAGAAGTGAAATAATTGGGTTATGAGAGCCTTAACATCATCAGAGCATTCATCCACTGATATTGATTAACTGGGTGGTAATTATAGGCAGATAGGGTGTGACTGCAAGAAGTCGGTCACTGGGGGTTTGCTTTAAGGGTTTATATTTTGTCCAGGGTAATCGGAACACTCTCACCCCCCTCCCTCTCCTACCTGATCTCTCCCTCTCCCTCTCCCAGTCTCCCCCACCCCACCCCCTCTCTGATTCCTGCTGGCTATGTCCTGGGCTGCTTTCCTCTACCACACACTTCTGCCATGATATTCTGCCTCACCTTGGGCCCATAGCTATGAAATTGGTTCTCTATGGACTGGAACTTCTGAAGCTGTGAGCCCCTAGACTTTTCTTCCTCTGATATTTCTTGTCATGTCTTTTAGTCTTAGCATCAAAAAAGCTGACTAGAACAAGGGACACCCCAATGCCATAAGAGTTGACACTAGACCCCACCTCTTACAGTTTCTACCACTTCTGAATGGCACACCCTGGGATCCTTAACATACGGGTCTTTGAGGGACACTTAAGATCCAAACTGTAACATAATTGAGACAGTTTAAGTGGAGACAAACTGAGGTCAGGGGTTGAAAACAGAATCCAGACTATCAGTCACATCAACAAGTTCTCTGGTCACTAAGGACTAGAGTAGCATTTGTCGTGGTTTAT